ATTTTGGTTGGCAAAAGACCTTAGCCAATCTGATGCGCGCGTATACCTGGCCAGGGATGAAGAATTACTGCGTAGAGTATGTTCGCAGTTGTAAGGTCTGCCAGCGTAACAAGTGTCCCGTCGCCATAGCCAGTTGAAGAGAACTCATATCTGGTTACGTTATCTTGAGTACTGTGTGGGCGCATGTCGCCAGTTGCTGTACCGCTGTTTGCAGGCATGACAAAGTGGGAAGAAGACGAGTTTGATTTCACTATCTGATCCATGGTTCAAAAAAAAACCGTGCGCACAAGACGTGTGCGGGCGCGCACGCGTGAGAGAGAGAGAGAGAGAGAGAGAGAGAGAGAGAGAGAGAGAGAGAGAGAGAGAGAGACTCAACCATCCCCCCATTAGGTGTAGTATCTGTTTCAGTCAGCTTCATATCTGATCCGTGGTTGATCAAGACAAAAGAAAAACGGAAAATCAGTTTGCGCACTCGTCAATTTAATGGAGGTAAAAAAAAAAAACAAGGGAAGCATCAGCGATTTCGAAAATAAAAGAAACTGGAAACACAATCGATTTTGGGAAAAAAGAAAAGAAAGCAAAGCGGCCGCATACGCAGCCGCCAGAGGTAAGACGCAGAGAGAGAGAGAGAGAGAGAGAGAGAGAGAGAGAGAGGACGGGAAGGCAGGAGAGGGAGGGAAGGCAGGAGAGGGAGGGAGTAGACACGGGCTTGAGCAGGATGGTCCATCGTGACCAATTAAAAAGAAGAAAAAAAAAAGTGGAAAATCCGCAAACCAGAGACAGAGAGAGAGTCCATCGCCATGTTCGTGTGTGTGTGTGTTTGTGAGAGAGAGAGAGAGGGAGAGAGAGAGAGAGTCCATCAACTTCTTGGCAAACATTCCATTTTTATTGCGGGCGTAACCGCAACAGGTCCCCTAGTTTAAGTGACCAGGGCAAAGTTGTGACTGTCCTGTATGCTAGTTTGTTTAGACTCAGCTGATCTTCAAAAACAGGTGTGTGCCAGTCACCCTACCTACCGTCTTGAGCAGAACATGGGGTCGTCATAGCTGTGGAGGGATATACAACCTGGTGTCTTGCCCATGGGAAATTGAGGCCTGAATGTATTGGGCCTGACATGTGCCGCGGTACAGAGGGCACTATGGCTTGCACTTTGCGTGAGCCAAATGACATTGCGCTTGATTGGAAACCATCTCTGCCTGGCATACGAGGTCGAAATTTGGGGTGCACTCGCGATGGAGAAAACGGTTCTCTCTCTCTGTGTGTGTGTGTGTGTGTGTGTGTGTGTGTGTGCAAGTGTGTGTGTGTGTGCGTGTGTGCGTGTGTGTGATAGAGAGAGGGAGATCTGTTTCCTGTTCTGGTATCTGTGGCAAGAGAGATTCTGTCTGCCATTTGATGTGGATGTGGCATGAACCTGACAAGGATGAGTGATGGATGTTTGGCTGTGATCAGGGCATGGGACAAATATCATTGCAGGAGTGGGACTTGGATTGGAGTCGACTGCGATGCCTGTGCTGGTGATTTCAACGGCCATCCTTTCAGCATATTGGCTAGGGAGGACGTCAGGGATGGTTGATGACATGGGTGAGGCAGCTGGGGGCCTCTTTGGCACAGCCATTGCGACCATGGGAATGCTGAGTACAGCGGCGTATGTGCTCACCATGGATATGTTTGGCCCAATTGCAGACAATGCTGGTGGCATTGTGGAGATGAGTCAGCAGGTGGGATGTATATTATCAACCAATTTGCTTGCGAGTTTTAATGTATGGGTAGAAGGATGGATATGACTGCCTTCCTGAATCACATCTGGTTGTCCACTTCAACAAAGTGTCGGGATCCCCATATCTATGTTCATCTTATCTTCAACCTTCTGAGTCCAGATGTCTACGTTGATGTCATCTTCAAGATTGCTTTGAGATGCACATGTTGATTTTGATGTTGTAGTCAAAATAGCATAGGTGAAGGATTTGGGTCAGATGTCCGGAAAAAAAAAAAGGGTCAGATGTCCGGGTATGGGTCGTGGTCAAGGTCTGATCTTATATTTAAAATAGCAATTAAAGCTCCGGGTTAGGGTCTGGGTCTACGCTTGCATTTGACATTGTCCACTTTAAAAAAACACCTGGGTCCCCATATCTATGTTGATCCTATCTTCAACGAAGCATCTGGGTCCCGACGCCTATGCTGATGTAATCTTCGAGATTGCATCAAAATGCACATGTTTATAGCATACACGCGGCGCATCGCGATGCGCTGTACTGCGCACGTGCGCCGCACCGTGCATTCCGCACGACGCACGCGCACTGCATGCGGCGCACCTCCAAAAATGTGGGTCGGAAAAAAAAATAAAAATTGTGAGGGGCGGTAGTAGACCTGGCCCCCTGCTCACGTAAAATAAGAAACGGGCAGCCAAATTTTTTTTGGAGGCCGCGCGTTGGCCTGAAAGCTTTTAGTAACCTGGAGTCCGCGTAACACTCTGTGTATGGTAGGGTTCTTGCAGTCTGTATGGTAGGGTTCTTGCAGTCCAGATTCAGTCATGATGAGGGTCGCGATCTCTCAACGTTCTCTTCTTATTACTTCTGAAGTAGAAAACGACGGAACTGACAGCCGTTTTTCCTGGATTTTTTTTTTTTTAATAAAAAGAAAAAAATGTAAAGGAAGGAAATCAGCGGAACTGACAGCCACTTCCCTACACTATTAAAATCGCTAACGTGACAAATCTGAAATCTGGGCCACCGTCGGTCCTGCCGGCCCACGGCCCAGATTGACTGAAACATGTAACAAATCTGCCATCTGGGTTGTCGGGTCCTACCAGACCGACGGCCTGGATAGATGCGGTTTTAAGATCTTAGGACCGTGCCGAGATCCACGCCGTCGGTCCGGACCAACGGCTCAGACAGACGCTCCGTGGAGTGCCGTGGGGTACTACTGGGAGTCAAGTGCCGTGGGCTCAGATAGACGCGCCGCAGAGTGCCGTGTAACTACTTTTTGGTGGCGGCGCGCACGTTTTTGTGGCGGCACGGGCAAATTCCACGGCGTGGGAAAGATCGACCCCTACGCCAGCGCTCCCCTTCTCTCTCCTCCACCAGCGCACTCCCCGGCCAGGGCTCCCCTCCGCTCCCCTCCACTCCCCTCC